GGAGCTGCTGGTCTTCGGCTACGCCTGCAAGCTGTTTCGCGACGACGAGAAGGCGCTGCAGCAGGAGCAAGGCCGCCACCTCATCCCCTGGATGGGCGACGCCTCCATCATGATCGATAGGTCGGTGCAGAGCAACCCCCGCCCGACTATCGCTGCTCTCGTTATGGTTGTTCTTATGATCCTCGCCCTCGTTATTGCCATGGCGGTTCTCCGGGGGGGGCGGGGGGCGGTGATCCTCTGCCAAGCGGGGCTCGGGAGAGCGGCCGAGGCGACGAAAGGCGGCGTTGGGCCGGCCTTCCTGTCCCTGCCTCCTTCGACAGGGGCTGGACTGCCGCTCCCATCCGCTTCTAGCTTCCCTGGCTGCTTTCAGACGTGGTGGACTACAACTCCCATCCCTGCCTGCCTTCGGATATGCTGGACTGCAATCCCCATCCAGCATCCCAGGCTGCTTTCAGATATGCTGGAATAAAACTCCCATCCCCACCCAGCATCCCTGGCTGTTTTTGGATATGCTGGACTACAACTCCCATCCAGCATCCCTGGCTGCCTTCAGACACACTGGACTACAACTCTCATCCCTATCCAGCATCCTTTGTTGCTTTTGCATATGCTGGACTACAGTTCCCGTCCACCATCCCTGGCTTGTTTCAGATATGCTGGACAACAATTCCATCTAGTTGGGCAGGGTTATAAATCCCATAATCTATAGGTAACATACTCAGTATCCACAATATGTGCAGGATTAGACTTCCCATCATCCATTTCCACCTCCCTGGTGATCTCTGTACATGCTGGGCTACAGCTCCCACTGTCCCACCTGTCCAGCGCTGGACAGGACACCAGGTCAGAGGTGGCTCCCCAAAACCCACAAGTTTTGAAGGTTCTTGTTTCCACCCAATTGTAGATCGCTGGGTTAGTCTGTTGAGAAGGCAGGGAGAGTTCCCAAGATTTCAGTAAAATATTTGTTCTGAGTACCGGGTTGTTCTGCTTCTCCAGCCGTATCTTATTGACATCGTGGTGTTTGTTTTTGAGTAAACAAAATTTTACTCAAAAACTTATCTCAGAATTCTTATCTGATTTTATAGCTTCAGCAGTTGGAAAGGCCATACAGGGAGTTCTTGGTCAATAGGGAATCTGTCACTTGGTTGTAATGCCAGTACATAAATATAATATAGTGTAACCTTTAAAAAAAATCTTATTAGAGGGCATGAAGTGCTAACTGACCTTTCAGCAGGGTTTTTTTTTAAAAATCTGCAAATAAACTTCTGAGTAGCAGCTTCCTGAAATCAGATGTGTTGGACTATGTACCTCCAGGGTTGGTAGCTGATGGCTGGGTAGGGAAGTCTCCTCAAAAAGCTTCTGTTTTATGCGTGCAGATGTGTTTTATTTGGTTGTGTAAAGCAGCTTTCAAAGGAATGGAATTTTTTTTAAAATGTGCAGTTTTAATATTCAGTCTGCCTGCTAAAGCGCTTCCTTCACACATTTAGCAGTGGTTTTAGACCATGAACTTTACCCATCTTTAAGGTGATGCTGGATTGGCCTTTAATGGAACAGACCAGCATGGCTACTCTTCTGGAGTTGGTTGTGATACGGCTCCTAGATTAGCTATTAAAAAAAAAGAGCAAATAGATTCCCTTGAATTCTGCATATAGAGCTACTAATGAAGCCACAACAGGACGTTTTTTAAAAAACTGCAACATTTGTAAAGTTTCCTTTTGTATGCAGCAAGGCCAGCTTGGAAATTTAGAAACCTTCTAGCTTCTACTTCCTCACCTCCCCATGCTCTCTTCCTCCTTGGCAGAGGATTGCTGTGTGTTTATATCCCCTCCCCCTTGTAGGAGTGGGTCCTATATAACCTGGGGTTGGAGTACCTTCTTTTCAAACCAAACTCTTTAATGACTTCTGTTATGAATGGGAGGAAGATTAATTGTGTCTCTGAATGTTTACCTGAGAAAGAACTTGCTCTCTGGGTGGTAGAGTTAATATTGGGATCTGTTATGCATTATGACTTTTTGGCTACACCATTTTTTCTTTTTCTTTTTTTTTTTTGGCCTTTTTGGTTTCCAGTAAGTCATGTAAGAATGCAGTCCAAGGTTAATGGCTTGTACCATTGAATCCTGCATTCTCATTCTTTCTCTATTCTACCTCAATTCACTGATGAGTCTTTGTTTTGTTCGTTTCATTTTTCTCTTCAGAGTAGAGTAGTAGCAATCGTTGTGACAGTCATGTAGGGAAGGTTAAGCTGAGGTATAGGGACTGCTTGAAAGCCCCCCAGGGAGTTTCATGTTTGGCGATTAGAACTTCTGTTTCTGAATTCCTAATATTCTAATTAACTTAGTGCAGTAGCGCTGCTTTTAGTATGATGGAGGTTGTTCTGGATGTTGGCAAACCCTACACTTCTCCAGCTTCTGGCAAAATTCTTGGTTTTCATTGACTTGTAGATAGTTGTTCCGATTGTTTAGTTTAATAGTATTTTGTAGTTTCATGGAACCTTGCTTTATTACCGCAAAATGGTACAGTATTTACGTAATGGCGTTTGTAATGTTTTTATGCGTGGCAATTCCTACTCTTTAAAGCCAGAACTGGCAGGTGACTCTTTGTCAGGTTGTCATTTCATTGTTCTGGAAGATCTCAGGGCTTAGCTGTTGGCATTTTAGTGAAGGACTTGATAGCCAATGGGACTGAAATGGCATTGTGTTTAGCACAATTCCCATAGTGTAATGCAAGGAGAGTCTGAAGGCTTTGGTTTGAAAAGGGGCGTGTGGCATATTGCAAGAGCCTGCTCCTTCCATTTCGGCTTTACAAAAGCTTTGTAAGTTTACAGGATCCCAGTTCCCAAACCAAACCCTACTGGGAGCTCAACAAAACTCATTAATGGTGATTTTTGGTGAAACGTTAAAATGCATTTTCTTTAAACATTTCTAACAGAACCCTACTATTGGTAACACGTGCCTCATTTTAGGGTATATGGCCATATTTTGTTACTTTCTGGAATCAAATTGAAATGTAAATTAAAAATTGATTTGGTAATTCAGCTCCATGCTCATCAAACAAAATAATAGTATTTATCAGCCAACGAACTTCCACAATTTCTTGTGGGGAAGGATTATAAGGCAGTTAGCTGAACTTAATTAACTGTGAAAATGGTAGGAGCAAGCTGTACATATGCCCATGATCTTTTATTAATTTACATTTGTAAATTAAGGAGGTTTGATAGACATAGATCTGGTCACTATAGAGAATCATTTATTGATAATCACCTTTCAGTTTTTTGTTTTGATTTTTACCTTGCTCTCCCTAAAATTGTTTGCTTTTGAGGAAGTAATAATGGGATTGAGATGATTATTTCTTAGAGGAAAATGCTTTTTTTATTTACAAGACTGTTTTTTTTTTAAATAACAGTCTTCTCCTTATATTGGTTTTCTTCTAATGAGCCTTTTAACCAAACTTCATATTCAGTATTCCTCTCAGATTGGTGGAATGTACTGAGTGCTCCTGTCTGCTCATTTTTCCTGGTAACAAAGAAAATAGTTTTAAATCATAGCCTAATCCTGTTTTAATTACCAGCCTTGCGCAGATTATAAAGAAAATTATTAGCCCACACAAATAATTAACCTGCTTAAAAACACACACAATTACAAAAAGTGACCAGATGAATTACACATCCAAGGTAAATTATGGATATGTAATTCAGTGGATTTGCTCGCATTTTCTGCAGAGAACCTCCTTAAATTGCACCTATGTTACTGTTCCTATGTATGTGTGTCTCTCTATCACATAACCCAGCGCTTCTTTCCTCAGCCGCATAGCTAGGGGCCGAGCCTAGCCATGATTTTACCTCCAATGGATGCAAGTTTCTTTGGTGAAGATTTCTCCTGAGAGTTCAAGACTAGCAGAAAGAAGCGAGGAAATTGCGACCGTTTGGTTCTTACGGATAGGTATTTATGTATTTGGGTTTGTGTAAATGTAAGTAATTTGCCTTTGCAGCAAAGAAATCTATCTATTATAGATGTATATATGTTGGCAAGGGTGTTAAATGGTTGAACCATAAACGGTAAGAATGCGAAGCCATTAGTTCCTCTTTAGCTGTTTAGATATTCTGCCTTTAATTTTAATCAGTAGTCCCTAAGGGGGAACTGAGGTTTGGTTTTTGTGTTTGTTAAAGGAAGTGGGCGAGAAGTGTTTAGCCAGATTAATGTGTCCCTCATTTAATTCAGTAGATCATTCTTTTCCAATACCTATGGTAAGTATTTGTATAGTGGCAGAAAGTAAAGCCCAAAGTTCCTTCGCTGATCATGTTTTTCCTGTTGCAGGTATGATGGGCGCGGCCACCTACATGACCTTTCTGAGTACGATGCCGAATATTCGACTTGGAACAGAGATTACCAATTGTCGGAAGAGGAGGCTAGAATAGAAGCCCTCTGTGATGAAGAGAGGTATTTAGCCTTGCGTACGGACTTGCTTGAGGAAGAGGCAAGGCAAGGTATTATTCAAGGACAATTTCCTGAGATAGCACACATTTGATTGAAAATTGTTTTTAAAAAGTCTATATAACTTTAAAAAAAATTGTTCCCAACTCATTATATACTCACTCTTTCTGATATTATTTTGACAGTACCCAGTGGATTCGAAAAACAAGCGTCTTTGCGTATCTGAGGACCCCAGGATAGTTTATATGTAGAGCCACCCAGAATTGCCCAAGTTTTGAGGGCAGGCTGAGAATTGAGACCCTTTTAACTGTTCTTCTTTAACAGTATTGTATCATCGAAAAGTTCATGTCTTCTTCTTTGTTTTTGAGTAGAACGACTTTAATGCTTATCTCAGCAGGAGAAATAAAACCAAGATCATCCAAAAAAAAACAAAAACAAAAAGCACATATCTTCTGCCCTTTTTGTACGGGCAGAACTGTCTATGTCCGCCAACGACCCATGTGGTGAATTTTGCTGTAATGTTTGTGCTTGAATGCTAGGATTAATGATATATTGTTCTTTTTAAAAGAAGCTTAGCTGTACTTAAAACTTTCCCCCCCTTTTTTAATTGCATTTTGCATTTTTATTCAAGAGGAAGAATATAAGAGGCTGAGTGAAGCTTTGGCTGAAGATGGGTCTTACAATGCAGTGGGATTTACCTACAGTAGTGATTACTATGACCCTTCAGAACCCACTGAAGAAGAGGAACAGCCTTCAAAGGCAAAAGGTAAGGAAAAGAAAAAAAATATTTTCTTTATATACCTGGAAAGAAATCATCTTGAGTGGCCTATGATCTTCTGGTTTCATTGATGAAAGGCATTGAGTTTATCAGGCGCTTGTGGTAGATGCACAGAAAACAACCATCTCTTGAATGGCTTTCTGTGACCTTGTTTTTAGAGTCCTAAAGGGATGAAACAACGTGAGACACCTACAGTGCCTTTTTAAAAAAAAAAAATTATTTCATTTATTTATCAAATTTGTCACTGCCCATCTCGTTGAAACGACTCTGGGCAGTTTGCAGCGAAAATAAAATTCGCTAAAATACAATATAAAACAGACCTAATAATAAATAGCTTCTAAGCAAGATGGAAAGTTAGGGAATAATTCAGCTTTTACTGTGATGCTAAGTGTTTTTTCTATCCCCAAATCAGTTCCATAGTCCACTACCATTTTGTTACAGGAAAACACGGAAATCATGTTTGCCCTAAAATAGGCTTGCCTCTGTTAAAAACAGCGTTCCCCTCAGATTCCTGGTCTGAATTGTGGCCCCCAATCTCCTTGGGGTTCTAGTTCAGTCAATGAAGGCTTCAACTGAAAAGATCAGAGCAACTCGCAGTGTTAATTAAGTATTTGTTTTATGGCAATTGTCCTAATACACACAACAGCGGTGAGTTTTGTTGGTGGTGGTTCTTTTGATAAGTGCCAACTTGGGCAACTTAAAAACTGCACTAAGCAAATTAATACTGGATTGGGTACTTATCGTCCACTAATCATGATAGTATACAGTGGGGCAAAAAAGTATTTTGTCAGCCACCAATTGTGCAAGTTCTCCCACTTAA